CGTGATCCACCCGCCTCGGCCTCCCAAAGTGCTGGGATTACAGGCTTGAGCCACCGCGCCCGGCCTCCCAATTTTTATTTTTAAAGATTGTATAAATCCAGAAAGGATCACAAGAAGTAGGTCAAAATGTAAACAGTGTTTATCTCTGGGTAATGGGATTATGGGTGATTTTTATCTGTGTGTCTGTGTCCTTGTATTTTCAAAACGTTATATAATGAGGGAATTATTTTTATAATCAGAAAAAAAATTTTTTTAATCAAAAAAGTCACATCAGCCACACAGTGAATGTACCAGGCTTTAGGCTTTAGGGACACTTTCTGTCCTCAGCAAAATCTTCTTAATACAGCTGCAAACAACAAAATCAGATCTTAAAGCAGCTTACTCCAGAGGGCAGCATTGCTGTGGAATTTTCCTTTTAAACACAGTTTTGTAAAGTTTAATTTTTTTTTTTTTTAAAGAGATATGATCCTGCTCTGTTGCCCAGGCTGGAGTGCAGTGGCGCAATCATAGCTCACTGCAGCCTTGACCTGGGCTCAAGTGATCTGCCTCAGCCTCTCAAATAGCTAGGACTACAGCTGTGTACATTAGCGCACCCAGCTAATTTTATTTTATTTTTTGTAGAGATGGGGGGTCTTGCTCTGTTGCCCAGGCTGGTCTTAAACTACTGGCTGAGTGATCCTCCTTCCTCAGTCTCCTTAAGTACTGAGATTACAAGTGTGAGCCATGATGCCAGTGCAAGTTTGAATTTATTTTGGTTTTTTTTGAGGCAGGGTCTCACTCTGTCATCCAGGCTGGAGTGCAGTGGCATGATCAAGGCTCACTACAGCCTCCACTTCCTGGGCTCAAGCAGTCCTCTCACCTCAGCCTCCTAAGTAGCTGGGACTACAGGCACACGCCACTAGGCCTGGCTAATTTTTTATCGTTTGTAGAGACAGGGGTCTTATGACACGGGCTGGTTCTGAACTCCTTTTCTTTCTTTTTTTTTTTTTAAGATGGGGTTTCACCATGTTGGTCAGGCTGGTCTTGAACTACCGACCTCAGGTGATCTGCCCATCTTGGCCTCCAAAGTGCTTGGATTACAGGCATGAGCCACCATGCCCAGCTGGTTCTGAACTCCTAAATTCAAGGAATCCCTCCACCTCAGCCTCCCAAAGTGCTGGGATTACAGGTGTGGGCCACCATGCCAACCTGGCACTATTTTTTAATGTGCATTTTGATCTCTGTAAGAGAAAATCACAATAAACGAAGAAGCGGGGGGAGAGAACATGTCATCAAACAGGCAGACACCTTGTGCCAGTGTCATGTCTGAGGCTGCCCAGAAATTGGCAATGTAGGCTGAGCACAGTGGCTGACGCCTGTAATCCCAGCACTTAAGAGGCCAAAGTGGAAGGATCACATGAGATCAGAAGTTTGAGACCAGTCTGGATAACATGGCAAAACCCTGTCTGTACTAAAAACACAAAAATTAGCTGGGCATGGTGGTGCGTGCCTGTACCCAGCTACTTGGGAGGCTGAGGCATGAGAATTGCTTGAATCTGGAAGGCAGAGGTGCAGTGAGCCATGATCGTGCCACTACACTCTAGCCTGGGCTACAGAGTGTGACTCTGTCTCAAGGAAAAAAAAAAAAGAAGACCAGGTGTGGTGGTTCATGCCTGTAATTCCAGCACTTTGGGAGGCCAAGGCGGGCGAATCACCCAAGGTCAGGAGTTCGAGACCAACCTGACCAACACGGTGAAATCTCATCTCTATTAAAAATACAAAAATTAGCCGGGTTGCCAGGCGCGGTGGCTCAAGCCTGTAATCCCAGCACTTTGGGAGGCCGAGGCGGGTGGATCACGAGGTCAAGAGATCGAGACCATCCTGGTCAACA